GTTTTTGACAAATCGGCAAAAATAAATATGTTTATGTTTAACATATAATAATAACTATAATAATAATAATAATAATAATAATAATAATAATAATAATAATAATAATAATAATAATAATATCTTTATTATCCCACACATTTAAAATACAATCAGTGTATTATGGATTCCGTCTAGTAGGTCAATGTAGATCATGCAAATGAGGTAGAAAATTACATGAAAAATTTATATAATAAAAATATATGACAGAGCACAACAATACAGTGATGACAAACATTAAAAGGTAAAATATTCGTTTAAATTATAGAAAAACTTTAGTTTGGATTGAAAAACGTTTATACCACTACTTTGGTTGGAAATTTGGTGAACAACTATGGTCCGATTGCATTAATTTCAAATCTTGCTAAGATTTTTGAAAAAATTATTTTTGTCAGATTATTCGACTTTCTTAATAAGCACAACATATTATGTATAAGGCAATTTGGTTTCCTCAAGAAGAAAGGCACAGATGATGCTTTACTTAGTAAACTTAAGCCTTAGCCTACCAATAGTTGTGACTTTTTTTAGACTACTCAAAAGCTTTTGATACAGTTGATCACGTTATACTAGTGTCGAAATTGCAGAATATGGGAATAAGGGGTGTAAGTTTGTCCTTGATAGCAAGTTATCTGAAAGATAGACGCCAAGTTGTAAGAGTAAATGGTACAAAAAGTCAGCAAGTTAGAACAAATGTTGGAGTACCTCAGGGCCCATTACTTATACCAATATTGTTCATCTTATATAAAAATGATTTGTTGGTTTTGCAAGATACCTTAATAGCATATGCTGATGATACTGCAGTACCAATGAAAGCAAAATCATGGCCCGAAATTTCAACGGCCATGTCATCAACCCTGGATATTATATACTCCTGGCTCTATCAAAATAAGCTGGTAGTCAACACAGACAAGTCTGTTTTTGTCTCTTTTGGAAACTATAGAGACTCTGTTCCACGGGATATTGAAATCAAGATTAATGGTGTGAGTCTGAAAAGAACTACCAGTAGTAAATATCTAGGAATAACTTACGACTATAATGTAAATTGGGATGTTCACGTGGCTAACACAGTAAAAAAAACCAAATACTTAGTATATGTTTTTTATATACTCAAGGAAATACTAACATGAAATCAGTTATTACAAATTTATTTCATCCACATTGATGAAAATTCCAACATCAACGATATGGAAAATTGTGAATAATCCCATTGCAACGAGGAAAAAAAGAAGCGATGCTGATATTTTCTCGAGTGTATACGAGATATACGAGGAACAAAGCGTGCCTACATTAGATATCTTAACTTGAGGCTTGAAAAAGATGAAAGCGATGTTAAATGTGGCATAACTAACTTACGGAAGTGTATTCAATACATGGGTTTTAGATTTAAAATAATTGACAAAAGGCACGTTTTAATTGAATCTTTTAGAATTCGGAAATGGCGACTGGAATATCTAGAAAAAATTAGGATTGACAGAGAACAACAAAAGCCAATTATTTACTTTGATGAAACCTGGTTCGACACTTATGATACCCCGGAAAAGGGTTGGGTTGACTCAACTGATAAGTGTATAACAAACGCGCCATCAAAAAGAGGTAAAAGAATAACCATTTTGCATGCTGGTTTTAAAGATAGTTGGATTCCAAATGGACTTTCGCTGTCTGCGAAAAATACTAAAGATTCTTCTCTGGATTACCATGAAGACACCACAGCTGATTTATTTGAAAGTTGGTTTAAAAACAAACTAGTTCCAAACATTCCTCCTAATAGCGTCATTGTAATGGACAATGCAAGTTATCACAGTAGACATTTGATTAAAACCTCTTCCTCATGTGACACAAAAGCAACAATCCAAAACTACATATATAATAACGACATTTATTTTTACGAAGATTATACCAAATAGCAATTAATTAAGGTTTAAAACATTTCAAAAATTTTTTGTATTCACGAAAAATATATCTATGGACTTTATCGTTTATATTCAGGGTTGATTGCCTTATAAAATGGAATCTTGGTGGTAGTGCAGATTCAATACAATACAATACATTTGAAAACATGGAGACTTGTATATTATTTCAAATATATGTAGGTGTCGAAATATTAGCAGAAATAGAACAAAGTCAATCAAAAAGGGTATACGTTGATATTTCAAAAACAAATAAATACAAAGTGCATATACAATACAATACACGACTTGGTATTTAAAAAAAAATGGAGACTTTATATGAGGTATGTTATTTGAAAAGTTGTAGGTACCGAAATATTAGGAGAAAAGGTTTTGAAGTTATTGATACCAAGTTTAATGAATTCATAATAATGGAAAATATTTAACAAAAAGAGTTAGACAAGTCCTGAAAATATCCAGAGGGATTAAAATCCTACACGAAATCAATAATAAAACATTTGGAAAAATTTTAAATTGAAGAAAAAATATTAGATACTACAATACTATTTACAAATCTTCTAAAGGTCTAAATGTATCTATGGACTTTGGCGTCTATATTCAGGGTTGATTTCCTTATAAAATCGGATCTTGATGGTAGGCGTGGATATTTAGAAAACAAATAAATACGAAGTGCAGATTCAATACAATACAATACATTTGAAAAAATGGAGACTTGTATATTATTTCAAATATATATAGGGGTCGAAATATTAGGAGAAATAGAACAAAGTTTATCAAAGAAGGTATACGTTGATATTTCAAAAACAAATAAATACAAAGTGCATCTACAATACAATACACGACTTGATATTTAAAAAAAAAATGGAGACTTTATATGAGGTATGTTAATTGGAAAAGTTGTAGGTACCGAAATATTAGGAGCAAACGTTTTGAAGTTATTGATACCAAGTTTAATGAATTTATAATAATGAAAAATATTTAACAAAAAGAGTTAGACATGTCCTGAAAATATCCAGAAGGATTAAAACCTACACGAAATCAATAGTGAAACATTTCAAAAAATTTTAGATTCATGAAAAAATATTAGATACTACAATACTATTCACAAATCTTCTAAATTAAAACCCATACGAAATCAATAATAAAACATTTGAAAAATTTTTAGATTCATGAAAAAATATTAGACACTACAATACTATTTACAAATCTTCTAAAGGTCTAAATGTATCTATGGACTTTGTCGTCTATATTCAGGGTTGATTTCCTTATAAAATCGGATCTTGATGGTAGGCGTGGATATTTAGAAAACAAATAAATACGAAGTGCAGATTCAATACAATACAATACATTTGAAAAAATGGAGACTTGTATATTATTTCAAATATATATTGGGGTCGAAATATTAGGAGAAATAGAACAAGGTTTATCAAAAAAGGTGTACGTTGATATTTCAAAAACAAATAAATACAAAGTGCATGTACAATACAATACACGACTTGGTATTTAAAAAAAAATGGAGACTTTATATGAGGTATGTTAATTGAAAAAGTTGTAGGTACCGAAATATTAGGAGCAAACGTTTTGAAGTTATTGATACCTAGTTTAATGAATTTATAATAATGGAAAATATTTAACAAAAAGAGGTAGACATGTCCTGAGAATATCCAGAGGGATTAAAACCTATACGAACTCAATAATAAAACATTTGGAAAAATTTTAGGTTGAAGAAAAAATATTAGATACTACAATACTATTTACAAATCTTCTAAAGGTCTAAATGTATCTATGGACTTTGTCGTCTATATTCAGGGTTGATTTCCTTATAAAATCGGATCTTGATGGTAGGCGTGGATATTTAGAAAACAAATAAATACGAAGTGCAGATTCAATACAATACAATACATTTGAAAAAATGGAGACTTGTATATTATTTCAAATATATATTGGGGTCGAAATATTAGGAGAAATAGAACAAGGTTTATCAAAAAAGGTGTACGTTGATATTTCAAAAACAAATAAATACAAAGTGCATGTACAATACAATACACGACTTGGTATTTAAAAAAAAATGGAGACTTTATATGAGGTATGTTAATTGAAAAAGTTGTAGGTACCGAAATATTAGGAGCAAACGTTTTGAAGTTATTGATACCTAGTTTAATGAATTTATAATAATGGAAAATATTTAACAAAAAGAGATAGACATGTCCTGAAAATATCCAGAGGGATTAAAACCTACACGAAATCAATAGTAAAACATTTCAAAAAATTTTAGATTCATGAAAAAATATTAGATACTACAATACTATTCACAAATCTTCTAAACTAAAACCTATACGAAATCAATAATAAAACATTTGAAAAAATTTTAGATTCATGAAAAAATATTAGACACTACAATACTATTTTCATATCTTCTAAAGGTCTAAATGTATCTATGGACTTTGTCGTCTATATTCAGGGTTGATTTCCTTATAAAATCGGATCTTGATGGTATGCGTGGATATTTAGAAAACAAATAAATACGAAGTGCATATTCAATGCAATACAATATATTTAAAAAAAATTAGACTTGTATGGGGTATATTATTTATCATATATGTAGGTATCGCAATATTAGCGGAAATGGAAGAAAGTTTATCAAAAAAAATTAGACGTTTGCTGAAAATATCCAGATGGATAAAAACCTGAAAGACAAAGAAAAAAAAACTCTGATCGGAATGTTAAAATGTGTAAAAACAATAGTAGTTAACTATTAATAATTTACCAGCACAAACAAATAGTTAAAATCGCGCGATTTCGTAAATTGAAACACACCGCATTGAATTTAACATTAATTTTTCGATGATCGTACGGTTAACATCATGTTTAGCTTTTACAATACTATAAATCCTCTTAATTGCACCCCTTATTATCGGGTATCTGGCGCGTTCACCGTAAGCAAAATAATCACCCCCTCCAGATAATAGCAACCCCAAAAGAGAGTGAAAATTTGCACCGGCCGACCGCCATATTTTACGGTCCGACAATTCGAATCGTGCTCCGGTATTGTTGCAGGATATTCGGTCCTGCCTTGGCCGCAGGGCTTGCCCTACCTGGAGTTGAACTGCAGCCTGGGGTTGAATGGGGCCGTGTTACTGTTGTTGCCGATATTTCTATCAGTCGCCGTACTCAAGGTAAGCAAGATTTGTGCTTTTAGTATATAACTCTTCGATTAATGAGTTCTGGAGGTTTTTTTCCTACAATATGTAAATATTAGCTTTTGATGAACTTACAAAGTTTTTAGGGAATTCACAAGCTGAGATTCTAATTTTTTTTTCGAAAAAGATGTGTTGTATTTTGTAAAAAGTGTGTGAGCTCATAGCACACGAAGTTTCGCAAAGAATTCACAAATTCACAGTTTTCTTACGAAATTTTGTAAATGAAATTGAGAATTCACAAATGTTTACGAAATTCATACTTATAAAAAAGGCAAATAATAACATTTTTTGATGAAATTTTATGAAAAAAGTGGAAATTCACAAACCTTTTTATGAATTTCGCACTTACCAAATTAACAAACTTCACAAAGAAGGTTTCTTACGAAATTCTGTAAATAAAATAATAAATAAATAATAAAAGCTAAGATTAACGTTTTTTGTATAAAATTTTGTTAAAAGAAAATGTTAATTCAAAAACTTGTGAATTTCGTAAAAAGTTTTCTGACGAAATTCTGTAAAAAAAATAGAAAAATCACAAATTTGGGCGAAATTCATACTTATAGGAAAATCTAAGAATAACTTTTTTTTTTAAATGAAATTTTTGTAAAAAGAAAATGTAAATTTACAATTTTTTTATGACATTGGCATTTAGATTTTGTGAATTTCGTAAAAAGTGTGTGAATTCACAGCATATGAACTTTCGTATAGGTAGTTTAAAGTTACAAATTTCATACGAAATTCTGCGAATAAAATTGAAAAATCACCAATTTTTACGAAATTCACACTTATTTGAAAATCTTAGATCAAAATTTTTTTTAAATGAAATTTTGTAAAAAGAAAATGTAAATTCACAAACTTTTTATGACATTCGCATTTACAGTTTGTGAATTTCGTAAAAAGTGTGTGAATTCACAGCACGTGAACTTTCGTATAGGAAGTTTTAAGTCAGTATTTTCTTACGAAATTCTGTAAATAACTTTGAGAAATCACAAATTTTTATGAAATTCATACTTATAAGAAAATCTAAGATTAACATTTTTTTAAATGAAATTTCGTAAAATGAAAATGTAAATTCACAAACTTTTTATGACATTCCCAGTTAGTGTGTGTGAATTTCGTAAAAAGAGTGTGAATTCACAGCACATGAACTTTCGTATATTAAGTTTAAAATCCCAATTTTCTTACGAAATTCTGTGAATAAAATTAAGAAATCACAAATGTTTACGAAATTCATACTTACATATAATATTACTATTTTTTAGTGAAATTATGTAAAAAGATAGTGTAGAATTTGTGAATTTCGTAAAAATGTTCATAGACTACGAAATGTCGTAAAGAAAATTTGAATTCACAATTTTCTTTCGAAATTCTGTAAATAAAATTATGAATTCACAATTTCTTAAACAATTCATCCTTATAAAGAGAAGCTGAGATTAAAATTTTTTAATCTGATTAATTTTTTAAAAAGAAAGTTTCAAATTCACAAACTTTTGACGAAATTCGCACTTCTACATAAAAGTTAGGATTTGCATTTTTTTGCGATTTTTTTGTAAAACGAGGTTTTTTAAAAGCAATGGATATTTTCAACTTTTAATAAAATTCACCAACTTGTTCGAAATTTTGTAAAAAACAAATAGTATAGATTTCGTAAAAAGTTTTAATTTTTCACGAAATTTCGCAAAAAATATGTAACCATTTTTTTAAAGAAATTTTCTAGAAAAAAATGCAAAACCAATAGAACCGTTGATACTTGTACTTGTATTACTATAGCAACGCAGCCTAGAGAAATCAAAATCTTTTTTTTGGCCCAAATAATAGTTTCTCATTTAAATTGAAAACCCATAAGACTCTGTTCCTACAGCGGTTGAATTAATGGTCTGTTTTTTGGCCGTCTAGGAGTATGCTCAATTAAAGGCGACGTGAGTATAGAAAAGAAAAAACAGCTCGTCGTATCCGGTGGTTACAAAGTTTCGCTCGCCAAGCGAAAATAATAAACTAAATGGACCGACTTCCATTGTTACCGCGGAAACAAAGGGCTTCCTTGTTCCGAAACCGGATAAGTTTATTTTTGACGACGGTCTCGCAAGATTAGAAACTTCGCTTTCCAAAAATTATTTTTCATTTAAAGCCTACAAAATACCGGGCGAGACCAAAAAGTGTACTCTTGGGATTTGTTTTTTTTTTTTGGAAATCGTAACTTAATAATAATAATAATAATCCTTATTATTATTATTTATTGAATAACCCTACGACACGTTGCTAGTACTTTCACTACAACTCTAGTACAGTAAAAACCAAAATAATTGTATTTCTTTAAAACGATTTAAGAAAGGAAATTTTTGGAAAAACATGGAATGAAAAAGCGAACAAGACGGGATTGTGAAAACATATAAAAAACAATGTTGAAAAGGATTTAAAAAATATAACTTTGATTTTAAATGAAAAGCAAAATTTAAAAAAAATCTGAAAAATGAAGTTTAATAAGATATTTTTAAATTAATGAACAATGAACGTTCCAAAAGTTCACCCAAAGGAACTGGGAAAATTAACCGAGATATAGTGTAAACTTAAATCAGCTAAAATCAACTATTACTTCGAAAACAAGAAATAAATAAAACTACAAAAGAGAAAATCTAAAAAATAATGAGATAAAATGTTTAGGATATTTCTTAAATAATAGAATAACTAAAATTTCAAAAAGAACATTGTTGACCAAAAATCTTAAAATACAATGAAAATTAAAATATGTATATATGAAACAAAATAAAATTTCCAAAAAATAAACTAAAACTACGCTTATTTTGAATAGGAAAAGGAATCTGAAAAATTACCCAGGTATGTTTTCGGTATATTGTTAAACAAAATTATAATGTTTTGGGTATTTCTTAAATAATTGAATAACGAAAATTCCGAAAAGAAAATCGCAGAAGAGAAATCCTAAAAAATAACTAAAGTTTTTAAAAAAATCATTATACGCAAAATAAATTTGCACAAATAACGTCCAGAAATTCGAAAAATCATGGTTTAGTTGGAAAAGGTGAAAGTAATTTGACAAATTTACCGAGATATCAACTTAAACTTCGAAGAAGACGTAAATGAAAATAAATAAAATTTCAAAGGAGAAAATCTAAAAAAATAACATTTAAGGGGCAAAAATATTTTATAAAGAAACAGTTATTTAAAAAATTAACTGAGACATATTTTTTATATCTTTTAAAAGTAATTTAAGAGTTACATTGATATATAATGTAATGGATATTGAAAAACGAATATCTTGAAAAGAACAGTACAAAAGAGAAATCCTGAGAAAAATAAATTTAAAAAAAGGTAAACCATAAGTTTACTTTATTGTGGGACAGAAATATGAAATATTAACTAGATGTAGTTGTTTTGGTTAGTTTATTTTTATTTTTAAAATTATTTATTTATTGCTAATAATAAATGAAATTGCAAAGAAGACAATCTAAGAAAATGTTGAATAGGATCGAAAAATTTAAAAGAGATTTATTTAATTGTATACATTTACCTTATTATCGAAGTTAATATTTAAAATAAACGATTTTGACTACACGCGAGACCTTTTTTATGGGACATTTTACGCTTCTTCTTCTTTCATGTTAACCTTTCCTGTGCAAGGGACGTATTGGTATTGGTATTGGTATTAAAGGGGGGCGCCCTCGCGGGCGTCCAAGCACTTAGGCCACCAAATGGGCCCGTTGTGCCCCCAGGCCGCTCTAGAGGGCGTCCAGAATGCCGCCCCTCTTGTAGAAGGTCAGCAACTCCTTTAGCCCAATACCGTGCACTGAGTCCGGATCGATCAGGGCCGTTCCGAAGACTCCCAATCTTGCCCATGTCAAGGCAGGGCACTCGGTGAGCAGATGATACGGAGTCTCCTCCCCTTCCATGCACCACCTCCAATGCCTAGCAAGCAAAGATGCCTCCTAAGCCTGCAATGTCCTGTGTAGGCCCCTGTTAGTGCTCTACACTCCCTTCTGGTCAGTCTAAGCAGCTCCCTGGTCCGAGGGAGCGCGGGCCCATCCATCATAAGCCTCGCCTGCCTCATTTCCGGAGCAACTCTCCAGCCCCCCGCGGCCCGGTCTCTCGCCCAGGCTTCGAGAGCTCCCCGCCTCACACACGGGGCGATCCCCCAGCGGGGCTCTGGCCCTATATGCCTATGCGAGTAGCCCTCCCTGGCTAAGGCGTCCGCTGCCTTATTGCCCCGGATACCGGGGTGACCCGGGACCCAGACCAACGTGACCTTTCTCTCCTCAGCCACCCTCCTCAGTACCCCTTTGCACTTTGCAAGGGACGTATGGAAAACTTTAGTAGTAACCCTTAACGGAAATCTAGATATCGCTTAGCGTTAGCAGCGTATTTATTGATATATTACTTGGTACATAGCCCGCAGTTGTCGAAACACATAAAATATCCGTCAGTCGGAGAAATGCCGACGGCAAAACACGAAATCTCTATCGAGATCGCGTTCGATCCAATTTAAAGGAAATTAATTTAACGCGGGTTTCGTGATATTTCCAATTCTATGGATTCGGGAAATATGATCCGACCCGGAGGATTGTCAATAAAGACAGAGAAAAAATATGTATTCCGGTTTTTCGGTTTTTCTTTGTTAAAACGCGTCCCCTCTGCAAGCCGGCGGTAAATTGAATGTCAGTCGATAATACAGGGTGGCGCGATAATTTCGCAAAATACTGCAAGAACACTGAATCACTTAAGTGGGGTAAAAGGTGCGTATTTGGTTGCATAGTATGTTGAAGCTACCGACGTTAAGAAATATTTTGGAAACTAACCGAATTCTTTGAATTTCATATTTCTTTAATAATTATAATTATTTATTTAATGATTTAAAGCGAGTGGATTCACTTGTTACTCTCTAAAATCGATGAAATCGAATTTTTCGAAAGTATCTGTGCTCGTATAAAAATTTTATATTTCGGTAACGGTAAGTCCTACGGGATCGCCGTCGAAAAAAACTAATTATTTTTGTCTGTCCGTTCTCCGTTCTCGTCTTTTGCTTTTTCCTGAATAACTTTCGAACCGTTGAAGCCACAAAATTCAAATTTGCTTCCTTTTTAACCACGAGGCACATAAGCTTATAAGAAATGGCAATGATCCGACGCCGGCATCCATCTTTTTTTTTGGACCTTGCTATGAAAACACGATAAGTGTCCGAAATTTGAAGCAATCGACTTCATTATTGGCACATATATGCAGCTTTGCCCCGTGACAGAACCTATTGCAAATGGGAGGCTGGGGGGTCGGGAAGTCGGGGGTCTACAAAAAAATTTTTTTCAAAATGCTTATTGATAAGTAAGCGTGATATTGTAGCCACCCTATATTTTTTTGTTCTGTTTTTATTGCCATTTTTAATTACAATTTTAAACATTTTAAACTCCAATATGGCGTGCGTGAAGCGACAATTGCAATATTTCATTTACTCCGGGCAAACATTTTCAATTTAAGTTTCTTTTTGTGCAAAAGTATTATAATTCAACTGTCTAAATCCCTTCCTAAAGTCCCACTTAAAAGGTTAAATTAAATTACAAATTGAAAATTATAAAATGTCCTTTTTTTGCTTAGTTCAAAAAATAAACAAATAAAAAGTGCAAAAAGTCATGGGGTAATATTTTCTATCAAATTATTTTGGTGAAGTTTCATCCGGGACGTCACTGGCATCAATTATTGCATTCTAAAAATGGGTCTAAATTCTTCTTACCATATTGGCTGGAAAATTTTAAGGAAATTTTTTGTGACACCCTGTATTTAGCAAACTATAAATGAACGTTTTAAATCGGTCAACGAATTATCCCTAAAAGTCTGGCAGAATCTGAATATACGAGACAGTCAGTAGGTATTAGTAGTATTAATTGCAATTTGTTGGTCTGTTTTTCTGTGGTTTTTGTTTTTCTCAAGAATGTCCACGATTCAGTACATTTTCTGCCTCCCTACACTCACTATGGTCTTTCTATGTATTCAGAACCTCACCGACCACATATCAAATGTTTTTAAGGTATATAATGTTAAAGCCAAATGTACCATTTATCCTCTAAACATCTTCGATCTGTCAAAGACTATATTCCATTTGCAGCAACAGGTGTTTACGAAATTCTATATATCAACTAGGCGAAAGGCTTAATCTCACTTGAAATAACCTCATCAGCAGTTGCAGAACACAATTATGAAACCACACGAAAATCGATATTAATCGTGACTCAGACCTTTACCTTATATCGATTTAGGAATCAGTGATCCCCAGTGATGATAAATAAATTTTCTGGTATTTATATACAATTTAAGAGATTGATCGAAGGCATTATATGTTTTAGCCGTGTCACATGTAAAGGATCTTTCAAAAATTCCAGAGGTGTGACGTGGATGAGTGAGCAGGCCTTTTAAATCTTAAAATTAAATTGTGAACGTCCTGTCGAAAAGTGATTTTTTTGAAAAGATCGCGTGGAGACTTCTATCTTATAATCTTGTGTTAAAGATTACATTTATGGAGATATCGTCGATTTTTCATATTAAGCCATCGGACTTCCTTCAGGTTATGACTAACAGGCCTGCCGCGTTTAATCCCAAAAATGAATCTTAGACAGAATTTTTGGATTTTTTGAGACAACCGATGTCATACATGGGCCATCACAGTGGTTAAAAGAAGATAAAACCTTCGAATCACACAGGACCTTCTTTAATGATTGATTTAAAATATTTTCAGAACCATATAAGCATTTTAAGTGAGCAATGTATTTTTTAATACATTGCCCAAAGTGACCATTAAGTCTTAGCTTATTATCTAGCATAAGTCCAAGGTTTTTTGCCTCCGTTTTCCGAGGAGTGCACACATTTATTTCAACTAGTTGAGATAATCGATCAACATCCACGGGCCTACCAAAGAATATTGCTACAGATTTTTTTGGATTTAGATATAGTGAATGATCTAGGGACACCTTGTTAATTATTTCTAGATCATTATTTATGATTTGACAGCTTTCCAAAATTTCATCTCCTGAAAACCAAAACCAAAACTAGGAAACGCGGACGTATATATACAGTATAAAATTGTCCCCAGAATGGAGCCTCGAGGCATCCCAGATATTATAGCACGGCAGTCCATTTAGAACCACTTTTTGTGTACGACCTTGTAAATAGGGATATCAGGGTGCTTCAAAAAAATGTATACACACTTTAAACTATTGTAGTTTTCCCGCTCTACAAGGCTAATGTTATATTTCTTCGCCAGGTGCCAGCATAATCGTCCCTCTATGTTATATTATCAGTTGGAATTTGTAATATCAACATGGGGAACGTACGTTTGAATTTTGAAGAACGTAAGCAGGTTATTAAGTGGTACTGGAAGTTTGAGAATGTAAATGAAGTTCAAAGACAGTGGAGAAGGGAGTATGATACAGAACCACCTTCAAGATTAACAATTACACGCATACGAGACAAATTCGAAGTTCATGGAACAGTGTGTGATGTGCATAAAGGTCATTCAGGTCGGCCTCGAACAGCTACAAGTGATGAGTCATCCATCAACAGCAGTCTTGGAACTGTTTCAACGCTCTCCTAACAAATCTTCAAGACAAGGGGCTCGTGAAAGTGATGTAAGTGCTAGCAGCGTGCTACGCATTCTGAAGAGAGGCAAGTATCGTGTTTACATTCCAAGGCTGGTGCAACAGCTAAATGACGACGATCCAGATCGAAGGTTGCAATTTTGTGAATGGATTCAGGAGATGGTGATACGTGAACCGGGATTTATGGGTAGCATCATTTGGTCGGATGAAGCCCAATTCAAACTTAATGGAACTGTCAATAGGCACAATTGTGTTTACTGGGGTGAAGAAAATCCTCACATTACAATTGAAAAAGCTGTAAATTTGCCTGGTGTAAATCTGTGGTGTGGTTTGTCTTCAAGGGGACTCATTGGACCTTTTCGATTTGAAGGCACTGTAACTGGTATTAATTACCTAACAATGCTTGCTGATTGCATATTTCCTGCCATTCGTGCATTATACGGTAATGATGATTTTTATTTTCAACAAGATGGTGCTTCGCCGCACTATCACAGGGACGTACGAGCTTACCTGGATCAAAATTTGTCGGGCCAGTGGATAGGATGCAGGGGGCCAATCGAGTTTCCAGCACGCTCTCCAGACCTTACACCACTGGATTTCTTCTTGTGGGGCACAGTAAAAGATGAGGTGTACAAATGTAAACCACGTAACCTAGACATTCTTTGGAATGAGATTCAAGCAGTGTGTAGAGAAATCTCATTGGACGTTTTGATACGATGTACAGAATCAGTGGTGACTCGTACTCAGAATTGTATTGATGCTGCAGGTCACCAATTTGAACAGTATTAACATTTGTTATTTATGTTTCATTTACATTGGACTTTCAGCTTTCTATTTTTCTGAAATTTAACTTTGTAGAACGGTAAATAAATTTTCTATGGAAGTTCAAAGTGTGTATACATTTTTTTGAAGCACCCTGTATATTTCGTGTATGAACTTTGGTTTCTCCTTCTAGATCGGGAATTTGGCTAACGACGGCTACAAACTGGGACGTCAAATGAGCATGTGCAGTAGAGAACCGCCAGAAATACTGACCACCGGAGGCGGCTGCGGCCTCTTCCGTTACGGCGGTCCTACCGCCCCTTTCATTCACATAGCGATATCGTTCTGTCTGCTCGTCCCCAAGCTTTTGATGGACGCCAAACTAATAGAGGCCGGGTTTTTGCCACAAGGTAAGGACAGTTTATTTATTATTTGTGACTAAATAACGTAAGGAAAACTTTTATATGGAACTGTTGCGGTACTACTGTTTGAACATATCAATAAAAACAAATGAACATAACGAGGTATCAGAAAAATAATAATAGAGAATGACAACAACGCAGAAAATAAAAATAAAAACTACGTTTCTTTCGTTTTCCTGCATTGCTTCTTTTATTTTTACACCAATTACTTATTTGATAAATAAAATAAAATGTTCGGGATATATGCATCGAAATGAACAAAAAATGCAAATATGCATTTTTGTTATATGAACAATTAACATTAATCAAAACTATAATTAAACCCATTCTTTTTTTACACATGAAGACCTATTTAAAAGAAAAAAAAACGAAACAAAAAATATATCGTAATAATAGTTTTTTTATTCGTAGATTTATACGTTGACAATTATACACGGTATTGCAAAATATAAAACAAAATGCAAACCAAGTTCCCAGCGAGTATTTGGATAATTTTCCTTATAAGACGCTTTTAGGGATACTTTATTTAGTTGATGGTTTAAATCATTTAGCAATGGAAACTAGTCTCTTGGATATACTAAATTTTTGTTTATTTATTTATTTGTATAGTATTATTAACAATTTAAAACTAGTGAATAACAATAACATTGACAAAAAGGGTTGCACTTCGATTATAAAAAAAAGGTCACACAAGCTTCAAGCATGTGTGACACAACCCTGCATTTATGTATTTATATATATACAAAAACAAAAATATAAAAAAAACATAATTAACAAAAACACACTTTATTGATTTAAGTATTTAAGAATTGAACGTTTTTTTATGTGAAAGGCAAACTGTGCAACTTTTCCGATGCCATGAGGTAGAAAAAAACTGCTGCTGCCTAAGATATACAAGTTGACAGCCGAAAACAAAATTATGACAATGTGTATGATTAGTCAAATCCAGTATATCAGTGCCATTTAGATATAGCGTAATGGGATCGTACAGTTTTTTTAAACGCATGTAGGCAATTGTCAGTTTGTTATTAATATTGAGATTATGGTCCATCGAATAGGCAGGTCAGGATTGAATTTTATTAGAGAACGTAGGCGTAGAAAAAGAAATGTAAATTTTGGAATCATCCTCATATGGTTGCGTCACTGAATATCTGCTTCACAAAGACTGAACAATAAAGGTCCCAACATTGAACCTTGGGGCACTCCATTAGCAATTGGAGTATAGTTGGAGTTTTCTAGATTAAATTGCTTTCTAGCTATTGAAGCATTAGAGCCCAGTTTGTATGTCTCAGTAAGAACTTCCATTGGGCTCCTAAACACGTCAAACTTTGACAGTCTTAATAAATTTAAAATATTTTGATTTCGCTTTGTGTACTCTCTCGCATTAAGAAACATAGTATAAATAAAAAAACCGGATTGAACTGAGGTGGCTTTTACTTGATAAAAATCCATTTATCAAAATAAATAAGAACTAAAAGTTCAGATTTTCACGAAATTATATATTATGACATGACAATTGTTTCGACAACACCGTGTCTTTATCAAATGTGTAAAGAAACTGGAGTTGCGGAAGATTTAGATCTTGCGGGTTATCGACCGTGCTGTCGTCGCAACGTTGCCGCTTATGTCAAAAAGTAGTGACACCTTTGATTTTTTGAACGGATAAGCACGTATATTGTCCAGTTTCCTATAGCGAAATGTAATCGTGGCAATTTGTTATACGGTCTCTATATTTATGTAGTGACTAAAAGCTTTTTAAAAATTCGCTGCCATCATGTGCCCGAAATGGTTTGGGCAATTGCCTGGAAACCGTTCCCGTATAATCCATTACAGCGATGCGTTGGGAGAATCTAAAAGGCGCACGTGTGGGGGGGGGGGATTCAGGCGGATGCTCGTAATTACGGATCGCTCAATCGAATTTCCACCATTCTCATTAGTTACATTATCTGCGGAAAACATTTATACGGTTCACTGGGACGTTCTGGGTTTTCGGAAAAAGTGTATGTTTCTTTTATATTTTGGAAGTCCAAAAAAAATTCTATACATATTTTTTTCATAAAAACAGTAGGCAAAGTTAATCAGGGGGTCGGTCGTAAAAGCACTATATTTCTGGTGCAAGTATATAACTTTTTAGTTTTTCTGAAATACTTCTCGTGCCGCCGCTGATGATTTACTGACGAGAGCGCGGAAAACGCTTTCCTCCGGATGAATACATTGCTTTCTCAGACGTTCCTCAAGGCTCAATGTTGGGGCCATTATGATTCAACATTTTCCGTAAAGACATTGGTAAAGACCTTGATGTCGGTTTTTTGATATATGCGTAAAAATCTAAAAAAAATCCAGTGTTCGGAGGCTTAGCGAAACAATTGTCATGTAAAAATAATTTATTTTGATAAATGGATTTTTATCAGGTAAAAGCGACCTCAGTTCAATTATCTTCCTTAACTTTTAGCTGTGAAAGATGTGACTTAGAAGTAATATTCGTCTTGAAATGATCATTTATTCCCTATGTTAATAAAGTACTTAAAAATGCAGAAGTGATAAAAAAAATACTATTATTACTCATACGTCAGGTCTAAGTTGTAGTATGCATCAGTAGTTTGGTCTCCTGAGTACGATTGTCACATTAATACACTGGAAAAAATTCAGCTTAAATTTTTGAAGTATATACGATATAATTTGGATGGAGTATATCCTCTTAAAGCGTTTCCGATACAATATTGTTAAATTTGACCATTATTTGATGACTTTATTTAAAATGTTAAATAACTCCTTTTATCGCACTGACCTATTATATAGACTAAATTTTCTTGTTCCCCTTATTAACTCTTCCTTTCTGCCCACACTAACAACAAATATTTTACAATTTTCACTTTTTTTTCGCAAATTATTGCTAAGGTACAAATTTTACTGTCCCATTAACTATAAATATTAATTTCGGTCTTTGCCTATTCTGTTGTTTTTTTAGACTTTAGGTTAACTTTCGTGAACCTGGCAGTTGGGCTTCACGCCTGTTAAGACGACGTCTTTAAATAAATCAAGAAATAAATATTTGCAATGGTAAGTTTTCCCGAAATCCAGGAGACGTGGGTTCTAAATCTATCACATCCATAGGTGGAATACTGGGAAATAAGTTTTGTACATCAAAAGACAATAGTGTTGCGCTGGTGCGAAGTAATTGAACGCGTTGGATATGGTATGAATGTCACAATGAAATTGTCCTTGAGAATTTTGTATCTTCTTCAATCATGTTCAACAAATCCTATTCTAACTCTAACGTTCATACTGGAGCTTTCAGTGTCCAATCGGCTGGCTTCTAATGCAGTGCCATCAGCAAGTCCGTAAAACGATCTGAGGAATCACTCACTTTTATATTGCCGCGTCTTTTTTAAACACCCCGTATATCTATAATAAAAAACGCCGTCGTGAATACGTTCGAAACAAATGAAACGAAAAGGCCTTTGAGCCGTCAAACCGGAGCATCCCTCTTTATAATTGGTTGTTTTGTAAAACGGCGACAAAAACAAAAACTTTAATAACGAATCGGCACAAAAAAGACCCTGTTGCATTACGGCGAGTACCAAAGCAATACAAACCGCTCGCGTATTATCGGGAGTAAATTGCAAACCCCGTCCCAAAGCGGTGCGGTCTCGAATCAATATTCCAAAGTCCAGGTCCGTAATCACCGCTTTGTTATGGCGGCGACCGCGGTCGCCCACCCAAATTAGCTTTAACCGAAACGTGCGGAACGAAATATCACGATATTTATCGAAAATGTACCTAACATTCATAAAATTTGCAATCATATTATTCTTACTTTCAGCACACGTTTTCTCTCAAATGAAACCTTCACAGGCTTTCGCAGTAGATGGTCAAAGGCAGTTCTAGCCATACATAACCTCACTTTTTGATATCTCTGGGCCGCAGTGCTTGTAGGAGGTGCTTCGGTCGCCTTAGGGGGTCACCGATGCTTATAGAGACACTACTATTTACAGAATATTATATTACTAATATATCGTCAATCATCCTGTTGGCTTCTTCAGAGCTTAACCGAAACTGGCTCGCATTTGGTGAACGGTATAGATTATCGGATTTTTCGTCGGTAGAATTAATTAAATACATGCAACGATTCGGTTTCATGATTTTGTTCTACAAATGCTGATGACTTTATTTTTAGCAGCCAAGAGGCTCCTTCATGTTTGTTGCCTTTGACGGCTTAAAGGTGTTGAGAGATTTTTCAACAAGTGTTAATTCTGTCTTCAGCATTATATTTCTTAAAAACTTTTGATGTGTGGTCAGCCATCTTTTAAAAGTAAGGAAGGAGAACAGTACTGCTTTGGCAAGGTGGTGTTAAAGTTTATTTTATAATGGTACTCTTAATATCGCTAATGTGGAAATTATTAGAAAGAAAATCAGAAGTAAGAGTTGATGACCGATGATTTTTGGATCGGATAGTGTATAGGTTTTCTGCAACTGAATGACCCAAAACCCAAGATCTAAGAATGGCATATTATTATTAGTTTCTCATCCAATGGTAAAACGTATGCTAGGGTGTATAGAGTTACCAACGAAACGTTGGTTTAAGATGGAAGGTGTCAAGGGCTTTCATCCTAAAGGCTTTCTTAAATATATCTGTGATGACTGGAAATTAGAAAATATACATATACATATACATAAACATAACCAAGAAACGTTGAATTATGTTTATTTTCCAAGGTAATACGCAAAAGCGTTATAAAACAATTTTATGTAGAATTTAATGGAGAATATAAAGAGCCTTACGCAATTTTCTCGTAGAAATTACGGTTTACGAGCAAACGCGGAAAAGCGTTCTGCAGTCACCTTCGGGGGTTGTTTTTTCGGATCTGCATTTGAATGGCTACTGAAAGTTCACTACCTAGATTTTAAAACTGTTAATTATTTCTTGTGTTTCCATTTGAACAATTAATTTGTTTAAACTAACAACGAACGACTTTGAAAGGAAACCT